TCCTAACAGTTTAAGGCACTTTTAAATGAGGGAAAAGAGACATCGGAATGCCATTGAAATGTATTGAGTCGGCTTCAATACATTCCAATATAGGAAACATTGTTTCACTCAACGATGTTTCCTATGGGGATTTTCACTGAACGATGGCAATCCGTTCCAATTGGAACGGATTAACCGGTTTTCAATGCATCTCTATGGGAAATGGTGTTTCGCAGAACTATGTTTCACACAGCGATGAATTTTTTGGAACCAATTAACATCGTTGTGCGAGGCACCACTGTACAGGCTAAAGTCCTTATGCTGAAATACTGGCTTAAACTGACTTTTTCATTAGAAGGCTTGGCCCCACTGATCCTACTAGATTACTTTCAGTCCAAGTGGAAGAAGCATATAACAGAAGAGATATCAAAAATTGGCTCTTCTCCCAGTATACTTATAGCAATGGGTCTTACGGATGCCATTAAAGCGGTGAAGTTAAGGTTATGGGACACTGAACTACAGGACCATGTTGGCCAGTTAGGGAAATATAACTTCCTTAAGAAATCTGTCTTTATCACCTCCTCGTATTTAGCCAGCACTATGTCATCTAAAGCTATAAGGGCTTTTACGCTAGCTGGGCTTAATGTACTCCCTTCTAAGCTTCTGGAGGGAAGATTTTGAGGTTTGCCTGCATCAGATTGTCTCTGCCCTTGTAATAGTGATAAAGTTGAATCAGTTGGTCACGTTCTTCTTTTCTGTAACTTGTTATCGGGATCTTCGCATGGAGCTTTTATCACCTATTATTTGTAAATCTCCTGAGAGGTCATAGGAGGATTATGTGCAGTGGCTAATCTCGACAATACCCCTTTATTACAAGACAAGTGGCCAAATTCTGTGCTGCAGCAATGGTTACTCATAAACAAGTAAACGAAGTGACTGGACACTTCTGATCTCTTAGTCAGCTACATAAAATCGGGTTAACAGTACGAAACAACAGTATAATGGACAACTTTTTTTCCCAAGAAGTTGCTTCCCTTTGTTTGCTGTATAACAACTGTAAATTAGAAGGCATTGATTCTATTATGCTACAATTTAACTGACTTGATTTTTGACACAGTGGGCCTATTACAATACTTAACTAGCATTTCCTTGTGGATGGAGAAGAATAAGCAAAGTTTATTTTGGTCTTCTTCACTGTACAGCTAGCCTAGAGTGGTCGAGTAGACCAGATAGGCGGGTTATAAATCAAATAAATAAATAAATAAACAAACAAACAAACAAACAAACAAATAAATAAATACGTGATTTAAGAAGAGAGAAACTAAAAAAGTGTGTAAAAGTAGAAGCATAATGTCAGCACTTCCCATGGAAGAATGAAAGGACCTATTTTTATATGAAAGAAAAATACTGGAACATCAGTCAAGAAAGACCCAGAATTATTTAACAAGAGGTGAAATGTATATAAAAGAATGGTTAAAAAGATGTCCAAGGCATCTTGTGGTCTGAATGGGGTTGCCTTGGGTTGAGACCCATCACACCATGGGTATTTATTGTTAGATGTTCAAAAGGACAATAAAAGACCACTGTTAAGTTGGAGGGGAGGGAAAATGACCTGTTTCTTCCACTTCACCCTCAATACCTCATTTATTCTAATCAGATACTTATCCAGCTAGAAGTCAAATCTTTTCAAACTTCCATCTCACTACCAGGCAAAGGAGACACCATGTAAGAGTTACATTTTAGGTTACCCATTTAATATTCAAAGAGTTCAGAACAAATCCTCCCCAAGGGTGCACCATTTGTTGCAGAATTTATATAGAAGTAGAACCATAACAAGGTCTTTATATATCGTTGCCCAGATAATAGTAAATATTATCTCCAAATGGCAACCAATTGTATATATTCTGGGCCCTGGACAATAAAATATTCCCCAAACTATACTGATTTCTGCCAATAAGGTATCTTTTCTGTCCCACTCAGTATATTTTGGGATAAAGAAAATATCCTCAGGGTTTTTAAAAAATAAAAAATAAAATCAGGCTCAGAGGAACAGATTTGGCCTGGGATATTTTACTGTCCTGAGGCACACTGGAATTTCTATTGGGGAAATGTTCCCTAGTACTGGGGAAATTTTTCTGTTTGTTTCTAGGTGTGAATTAATCAGCAGATTAAAACTAGATTTTAGAATCCATCAGCAAGTTATACAAGTATTGTCCTGAGATATTCATCACTATATTCTGTACTTCTTCACATAAAAATGCAGAAAAGTTTTAGAGCTGGAATATTCTAGATTACATTTGAAATGTTGTATAAAATGAGCTGACAACTATAAACAAAAAAATTACTTTTTAAGGTAGTATATATGAATTGAGTGTTGAAAAAACCCACACATATGGCACTCCATCTGAGCTTTAGATCATGTATGAATATTATTCTGTGTTAAGCACTTCATAGGTTTAAAATGGATTATACCCCTGCTTGGCTTTGGAATACCACAGAAAGGCTTTTAAAAGATATAGTACTGAGCACACTGGGGCATGGCATGGAAAGAATTAACTGAGTAACTGTTCTCTTCAAATAGACTTAAATTGCAAAGATTAAGGAAGTCACATGAGGTAAATGAAAGAATAAATAGTAGACTTACAAACAAGGCTATTTAGAAATTGTAGTAATCAGATGCTACATGGTAGGCTAAGTTAAAAAGCATATGTAGTTACATTACTAGCTAGTAAATTTATTGAAAATGGATTTTGTTCATAATGTTTGGAAAAAAAATTAAAATTTCCTTTATGCTTTCATTTTTATCTGTTATAAAATAAAGTGCTGTTTGGAGTTTAGTATATTTCACTTAGACAAAAATAAAAATTTTTAATCTATTCATCTGCGAGATCACTATGAGTATATTTCAGAGAAACAAAATTAAAAGGTTAAAAAATTGCCTTACTTTAGTAATTGATCATGATTTTTCATCACCATAAATCCCTTCACTTTGAAACAAAAAGTTTTCTGTCACCTTAACAAAACACAAGTTTTATCTGGCAAAAGATTTCATGGACTTGCAGTATACTTGAGATGCATCTAAAGAACCAGGCTGCAGTCCCTGAATGGTTTGGCCAAATACAAATTACAAGATTTTGAAGTGTCATAAGATCACTTGTATTTGTGGCAACAGAATAATACAGCTGTGCCATGAAATCCCTCCACCTTGGCATATGTTTGGCAGAACTCAGGGGAGAAACTGAGTTTGCATTTAGCAGGGTCCAGTCTGTTTTGTCTGCCATAGTGGGGACATTTCAAATTCCTGACAAGGGCAACAAAAGTAGGATTTCTATAACAAATATTCAGCAAACTGAAACATCAGAATGTTATGTAAAAAGATCTATTAGTGCAAACCCTGTAATTAGATTTCAGGTTATGAAAACATTTTCAGTTTATACTGAATGAAAAATACACACAGCTAACTATTATTAATTTCCAGTGGTTATGGTGGTAGAGTCACACAACATCTTTAAATTCTTGAAAATCTATGTCATAATTTTCATGCTTTTGGGCAAGAAGTTAATATCAAACTTCTTGATGGCAGTTTTTTTATTCATTCATTCATTCATTCATTCATTCATTCATTCATTTGATTTGTATACTGCCCCATGAGTGTGAAGCACTATTCTGGTTGGTTTACAGCAAAATAATAAAACAAGGTAAACAATACAATTAAAAATAAGGCTAATGAACAAATAAGACCAGATGCAACAAGAAGTATAAATTCAAAATATATATTCATCCTAAAATACCTATGCATTATCAATGGTATGTACTGACTCCATATTAGTGATGTAGTAAATGTAAACTGTGAAAACTACATATAATCTACAGATCTATATTTGACATTTAGTTCACCTAAACACTTCATGATATTACTCTAATTGACTGATCTATGTTACACTCTGTATGACATGCTACAATATGACTAGGGAACCTGCAGTCCTCCATATGTTAATATACTACTACTCCCATTATCCCCTTCATTGGCCAGGCTGCCTGGTGCAGATGGGAGATGAGGTCAAGTAACAGCCACAGGTCTTCCCCACCACTTGCTCCTGTGAAAGGAGGTTATGCTACTGTGTCTATTTTGCAGACAAGTCCCTATGTAATCAAATATTGACTACTGAGGTATTAAATCTGCAGTTTGTCAAAGATATACTCATGGGATTCTACTGTGCATCTTTTGTAGTTAGTAAGACATAGCTCATTGCCTAGTTTATCAGCTAGAACAAAAATTGGAGATAAAGCCAAACATGGAGTGGGTGTATAAGAATAGCAGATGCTGCCTTATGCCGAGTCAATCATTGGTCCATCTACTCTAATAGGGTCTGACTGGAAGCAATAGATCTCCAGGGTTTTTTCTTCTCAGTACTGGAGATCTTCTCTGTTTTCCTGATGGGAATGCAACACTCCGGTCCTATTACTAACCAGGCTCAACATTGCTTGGCTTCCAAAACCAGGTGAAATTGATGTGGTTATCTTTAACTGTAATCCTAGGTTCTGTATGAATGAATTCTGACTTTTTGGTTAATTATAGCAATGTGTTCTGATTGGATTTAATGGAATGCTGGATGATCATACCTTACCCAAATATCACTATCTGCGTCCTCATAGGGAGGCCACAATTGACCTTAACCTTGCTGAGGAGCTTTCTGGGCAGAGATAGCATTCTTGCCAGATGTAACTCAATACTCCACTTAGAGCTCTCTCCCATAAAATAACTTCTGCTGTTTACTTCAGTTATGTGATGGCACACCCTGATCCTTTCACTGTTTGGCAACAGATCTAAAGACTTCCATGAACTTTAATTTATTTAGTGACCACTTGGAGTGTCAAAGTAAGGAAATGGAGAAGAACTCTCCCAGTTACCCCAATTAAATACACATCTGCAGCTTCATTGCAGGAGTTTGCCCAAACAGCACAGATTCGGAATAACCTTCTGAATAAATGAATTTGGATCTGATATGAAGACTGCAACTCTTACAAATCATAACAGAAGAAATTCTAACCTTGAAAAAAAAATTAAGAATGGAAAAAATTGAAACTAGTCACTACAACACTCAATAAAATGATTCTGACATGCTTGTGTTATCTGAAAACTCAATGCTCAGAAAAAAAGGCTAGCAGCTGTAGCAGAATGCAACCTAATGCCCTTCAGAAGTTTTAGACTACAGCCCCTCTCATCCCTGACCATTGGTCATGGGAAGATGGGAGTTGAAGTCAAAACATCTACTGGAAGCCATCCTGCCTGCTCTCCCACTGGCTTGTTCCATGTTTATTGAATGTCATCTTATGTCTGAATCTTACACTTGCTGATCCTTGGTACACCTACAGAAGCAAATACTTCTACCTGAGCCAGTTATTGGCAACTTGTGGCTCTCCCATCTGGCCAATAGCGAAAGATGAGGGAAACCACACTCCCAACAAAATTTGAAGGCAACCTTTCCCATCCCAACCTAAGCGTAGAGCCTAAAGTTGCAGTATGGAATGTACTTGCCTGATTGGATTGGGAGGCGGAGGAAGTGGAGGTGGCAGTGGTGGAGGTGGGGGTGGAAGTGGGTTTTCTGATTGTTGTATTCTTTTTTGAAGTTCATCAACTGTACAAAAGGCATAATTGAATCCTTCGTTAAAACTCTCTTCCACCTATGTGTCTTACAATAATGCATAAAATAGTGGGGAAATGGTGAACAGAAAGCAAAACAGAAAGTAGATAAAACAGAAAATAATGCTTTTGAAATATACACTGATTCACTAGCCAATGGACTATGGTGATTTAACACTGGCTGACAATTTCTTTTCTTTGGTGATTTTCCAGCTGCTTTCTTTCTCTTGTAGCTGCCCTCCTCACCTCTGGTGGAGACATCCAGTTCTCTGAGGCATATTCACTTATGACCTAACAGTAAGGAGGGATAAAAACAGATTTCTTACAACCAAGCTTCTTTTATTTGGGGTCAGGAGCCCATGTTAGTTTTTACTTCCTATCAACCTACATTTGTGGGCTTGTCTATCTTAAAGCAACTCAGAATGACAACGTAAGCAACTTGGACCTTGAGAGATAAATCTGGAACACCCCACAGAATATCAAGCAGAAGAAGCAGGTTTCGCTCTTCAAACTAAGTGTCTCTGAACTGATTACTGGGTTTGTTTCCTTGTCATTCTCAAGAATATGCTTTTGTGGACATACAGCCACTTCAAAATCCCTGAAGAATCATTACAGTAGTTGGTTCTTCCTTCTCACTTTTTGATACTGTAAACAACCATTATTTTTCATGTTCTGGTAATAGTTAAAAGCAACGGTCATTAAAGTACACCATCAGGATGAAATGTAGTCAATACACACACTCAGGTAATTTATTTCATGTCCTATAGTGAGTGAGTCTCCTTGGTAATTTCCATAGGTTTTCCAGACCCTTTACAAGCCTGTGATTAATTTAACACACAACACGATAAAACAGTTTTAGGACTTTGCACAAAGGCATTAGTATGTTTTTCTTTTGACATTTTCCATCCACATAATCTAGCTGCTTTAGGATAGTTAAACAGTACTTCCCCTGCTGGTAACTGTATTTTGAATTTATTAAGAAATGGCAATCTTAGATAAAGAGTAGTAAATTACAGTTTTTAGCACTTAATAGGTGCAATGCTGTAAGCTGGTCAGGCACCATCCTGGCAAATAAGTCTTTGGTAACAACTAAATTACAGTAGTTGATCCATACTGTATGTACTCTAAGTGGTTTTGTCAGTGTTCCTGATGTCTTGCATTGCCCGATAAACTGGACAAATAATAGCCAGCAAGTCAGACAGCTTTTACAGTCAGATAGTGAGGGGTAAATGTTTAGCCTGATGTGCAGGGAATTAGCCACACAACTCCCATGGATTTTAGCCATTAACACCCATGGGAGTTGCAAAGCTAATTCCTTCTGCATAGTCCTTGACACAGCACTCACTTTCTAAAATGTCAGTCACCTAAGGGCACATAACACAAGGGGAAACAAAAAACCTTCACATCTGTAGGAGTTGTTGCTTTCTGACTCATAGGGAAGGGCTAAATCATTTCTTAGACTAAACGAATACCTTCTGTATCTAGAATGTCTGTGTGAATCTTTTTCATCTCTCCATGATGCCTACATCTGGGAGTATTCCGATTTAGGAAAGTACAAAACAGGTTTTCCCTTTAACTGGACAATGTGGCTTTCTAAATGACCACTCTAAGTGAAAACATTTCGAGTTGCATCCAAACAAAGTGAGTTCCAGTTAAGTCTTATGGAAATCAACAGGACAAGGCAGTAGGTTCCACACATTTTATCAGGTGCTAAGAGTAATTATCTTAGCCTGGATTCAACCCTGTATGTCAAAACATTCTTTACCTATTAACATTCCAGGCAGAATACAAACTGAAATACAACTTCCATAACAGAACTGCATGTTATGAAGCAATAAACAGCAGTAAACTAATAATTATGCAGTGGACATCTTCACTGGAATTCAATGACAGCACATTCAGTTCAAAGTCTGTTTAACTAACAGCAAAACTAAGATATCAGATTCATTTATATTTTTACCTGAGTGCTTTAGGTTCCTAACTTGTTCTTCAGCACTCTGACACTTTTCTTCTAATTCTTTTTTTTCTTCTTCTAAAAGTTCCAGCTGTTGTTTAAGGGACTTGATTTCCTTATGCAGGATCTCGTTGGCTAGCTGTTGCTCTAATTGTTCAACCTGTTATCAAATCAAATCAAATAAACTCCTCTTTTTTTCTGTACTCCGAATTATCAAAGGAATACCCAAACCAAGTCAATTGAATGATTTTTCAAAACCCATCATCCTGTTTCTGCCAGCAGCATATCCTGGATCCTTATGGACATATAGACCAATAAATTATAATAAAAGAATATACATAACCACTATTCGGCATTTAGTAGTTCAAAGTTAAACTAACATGCTAGAAATAATGAAATGTTGATTTAATCATTTTGCTTAAAGTAAATGGGTTATACTAGGATAGGCATTCCTGCTAATGGAACAGCTTCTGTCATTAAAATGGAAGGGGAGAATTTCTCTGTTAGCCCTTTACCCCACCTTAAATCTCTTCCAGAGGGTCCCCTAGCCCTCTCTAACATATCCTGTAAACTTTGATGAGAAAGAAAGAGGAAGAAGCTCCAGTAAGGCTATGAACACTCGTCTTACATAGGACCTCATCCAATATTCCTAGCACTCAAAGAAATTTTAGGCTTCTCTTCCTCCTCTCTTTAAAATCTCAAGTGTTTCTCGGGACTAAAGATTCACCATATTTTATAGTTCAATATGAGAAGTCAGAAAACAAACATGTTTTATGAATATGAATAAATCTGCTTAATCAAGGCAGTGTTTTACACTACTCTGATAGAGCAATCTGGATTTTTTAGAATCTAAGAAACATCTTTAAAGCAGCATAGTTTGGTGGAAACATTTTGACTCTGATGTCATTAAGGGCAATGACAGTTAAGGAACAACGGGTGGTTTGTTAAAAAAACTAAAATAAAATACAACCCAGGTAAAATAATACCACACAGAAATAACAATGGCAGGCAAAATCTTGCTGATCTTGTTCAAGATAATTAGGCAGGAAGGTAAAGAAATATGTGGAAGCAAGACCCTAAAATTTAGGGCCAAATCAGACATCAAGCTAACTGTAAAAATGCAAACAATCAATTAATTAATGCTGGTTGCTAAAAAATGTAAGTAGCAGTTGTGGGATGGATGAACCAAAAGTGAAACCACAGCTGGTGTAGAGGAAGCGTTTAACCCATTCCATGAGTCCATTGAAAAATGCATCTCTGAAATAAGTTCCTATCACCTCTACCGCAACCCTTCTCTAGCTCAGAAAATGCTCTCTACATGTGCTGAATTAGAAACATTATTGTGTTTAAATGAAAGACAATATTCTGGGAATTCTGCAGAAGTTACAACATCTTCTCTAAAGCTTTAATGTCTGCTGTTGTGCACCCTTATTTACTGGTTACAAATATTGGGTACTTGTATTACTGACAACAGCAAACTATAGATGTCATGTGACAAGTTTCAAACATGTAGCATATTAGTTTCTTTTAGTATCCGTTGGTTTTTCAAATGCAAAAACTCACTTGCTTTTTGAATATAATTCAGTGTTGACAGCCAATAATTGGACATGAAGAACAGTTTTAAAAATTGCTCCCCCAAAACCTGTAATGATCTTATCACTTAGCTTGTATTTAAAAAACAAACAAAAACATTTTATCAGTGATTATTTGCACAGATATTTTCAGAAGTGAAACACCTACATTTTAAAGGAAATTAAAAACCTAAAAGAGCTTATTTTTCTTAGTTTTTTTACATCTTAAAGCAATGAACCACTAATGTAAGTTATTAAATGATCACTTATTTTATGTTATTATTGACAAACACACTTTCCCTAACCCCTGCTGTTTGCAATTGGTGAATTATAGAATATGTGGGTTGAAGAGCAGAAATACACTAAAATGAAGACCTCTCTCTGCCCTTTAATACAAACAATTTGAACAAATCTGGAAAGCACTCCTTTCCTAAAAGCTGGCAATTACTCAACAAACATATGTACATATATTTTAGAAGCAATTATGTCCTTCCTTTTGCTATTCCTGAAAAAAACAGAGGAATTAGCATTGCTTAATCTTAACAATCATGATTCACTTTCCATTCCAAACAGTTCAATACTTCCAGTAACACAGATTTTTTTTAATAATAGAAATCTGCAGTATTTACTAGAAGCCAGCTACACAATTCAGTTTAGAGCTCAGTTCACCATTTTGGAACATGATGTGATTCAGTCTCAAAAGATTTGCAGACAGTGCAATTGAACACAGGTCTCGATGCTAATCTGAGATGTTAATGTCCAAAAGGGTGTGCTTTCCAGTGACTATCACTAGAAAATAAACAAAAAAATACTATATTTTAATATATAGAATTGTTTATATTATTGGGTGTAATTTCCTGAAACAGCAGCTGTACAGGGGATTATGCGTGCTATAACTGCAGGCACATGAATGCAGAGATTTTGATGCTACATTTTTGAAGTCTGGTTTTGAAAAAGATGGACTGCCAATAATCTGTTTATTCCTTGTGAAAATGGGAGGAAATGTTCAGGCATAGCTGATTACTCTGGGAGAACCACGGGTGCTACTCTTCAGTTAAAACAGGTGCCATGATTTTTGTTCAAGAACAGCCTTTCAGTCTGTATCCAAAGTGGAACACACTTATTTGAGCTCTCTCGTGGATCTTTGTTCTCACAGCCAAGCCTTGTTCTGTAAACAACAGATTTTGTGGCCTAAGAAACAAACATAGGTGTAACAAATTCACCTTTCAAAACTAACATAAAGAATGGAATCCACTGGATGTCCAGTGTTTTTTTGGGGAGGGAGTACAATAAGCTTTCTACAGTGGACCCTCGATTTATAGACGGCTCAACTTACAGACTTTTCGAGTTACAGACTTCTCTGGCCACAAAATTTAGGTTCGACTTGCAGCCAGAGAATCGACCTACAGACCAGAAAAAAACCAAAATGGAACCATATGGAACAAAAACGGCCGGTTACAGGATTAATCCGTTTTCAATGCATTGTAGGTCAATGGAGACTCCACCTACAGACTTTTCAACCTGCAGCCACTGTTCCAATACAGATTAATTCCGTAAGTAGAGGGTCCACTGTATCTACTTTTTAGTCATACTGAAAGGGGACATCTAGGCATTCCAAGCAGGAATTTTGAATTTGTATGCCATTTTTCTATAGGTCCTAAGGCTTTCATTCACCCCCTGAGAAATGTATTGAATAAGGTTAACAAGAAATCATAAAAAATAAATAAAAATGTACAGGATTTATTTTTTTCAGTGTCAACAGCAATAGATTGAAGAGCTGGTAATGGAGCAGCACAATCATGAATTACATTTTTAAAATAACTTTCCTAATTGTTTGTCATAGAAAGCAAGCATGACAACTTATGAGCCACCAATGTCTTGGTACTGTATGTGCTTAACTTCCCACCATTTAAATTAGAAGGTTTACTGAACTCTGGATGAGTCACTGTATGGTTCTGTAGGTCACATGCTGGGGAGAAGCAAATGAGTTCAAACACCATTAGCAATGGAACAACCATTTTCTATTTTTTTTAATTCTGTACTGTACAGTGCAGTGTCTTCCTACCTTGATATTGTACGAGGCAAATGTTCATCATCTTGAACAGTGGGTGAAATCTCACATTGGGGGACCACTAAAATAAAAGGGCCTTATTAGGCACAACTGATTTATATCTTTCTGACTTCAGATCAATATGTATGTGCTATGTAAGACTAATGTTGGCTTTAGCCCCATATGTTGGTTTGGAAGCCAAACAAAGGACAGCATAGTCACTGGGAATACAATTCTTACTTTTTGATGGTGTTGTAACCTCTCTTCCTCCAGAATTTGGTTTAGCTTTGCATTTTCATCCAGAGCTTTCATAAGCTGTTCGTCAGCACCAGAGTTTTGCAGGAGAAGTTGGCTTTGCCGTTTCAGCTTATTTTGTTCAATAAACATCTACAGAAAATGATAAGATAAATTGCACAATAGATTATTTGAACTGCATTAATCTTAGTTGTACATATGGAAATTCAATTCCATTTCAAAACAGCCAGAGTCAGCAAGCATCAGAGTACTCTATAGGCATAACAGCGTTTCTGCTATCTCCTTTGTAGGCTAGTAGTTCAGAAAGAAGCATCTATGATTTGATGTTGGACCACCTCCCAGAAACCCCAGTCAACACTGCTAATGGCAAGAGATTCTTGGAATTGTAGCATTCTATTCTGGGAGCTGTAACAGGAATACCAGAGATACTGAACTGGAATGTAAAGCAGAGGAAGTCCCAGAATAGAAAAACACCCCCTAAAAGGTAAGGAAGGTAAAGAAAGGCTACATCTCTAATTTTCATGCATCCCTTCAGATACAAACATTTTTACACTTTAAAAAAAAAGACATTACTGAATCATTTTTAAGATGTCGAAATGTGAAGTAAAGGAATCAAATAAATTTTCAATACACTGCCCATAGAAAATACATACATATGTAGAATCAGATGACTACAGATGTCTGTATATAGTTGCATGCAAAGTTCTTTGGCTTATATATAAAGTTCACATAATGGGGATTTTTACTATACTGCAATAAGATTTCACATTAAGCAGTGTTTTATAGATGGTGGCTCTATATCTGGGAAGTGTAACAGCAAAAATCATATACTAGGGTGTTTTGTTTTGTTTTTGCAACAAGTAGCTCAATGTAAGATAGTTTCTTCAATGAAAAAGAAATGCAAAATTGGGCCTAATACAGACTCATCAGAAAAGATTAGAAGGTGAGGGAATTTTGATCAATATGCTAGACACAGAACAGCTACTACCTATTGTGCATCATAATGGATCCTTTTATTTATGAGAGAAAAAAGTAAAGTAATTATTTAAAAATTACCGAGAAATTGATCTATATCAAAAGTGGAGATGTGTTTTAGGATTACTGTATTAGAAACAGAATGCCCCATTATTTATTGTCCCGATCTCATGTTGTTAATTTACCAGCTAAATTAACAGTAGAAATAATAGCAACAGCAGGTTGACAGATACATTCTTATTACCCCTTATATCAGAATAGTGTGTTATTAGACCAAAAAAAAAATTTAAAAATGAAATCAGATATCTAGGCATTTATTTATTT